TTTGCTTAACAAAGAGAAAGTTATGGGGTGACTTGATCACAGTCTGTAAGTTTCCACCTGCGGAACAAGTATTTGACCCCAGGCTCTCCAATCTAGCAGAGGAAGCTCTAACATGATCCAATGGTTGGAAGCTGAAGCCAGACAAATTCAGACTGGAGATAAACAGTGAGTAATTAACCATGGGAACGATTTTCCAAGGACCATGATGGATTTTCCATCACTGGCAATTTTTAAAATCAAAATTGGACATTTTTCTAAAATCTGCTCTAGGAATTATTTGGGGGAAATTCTCTGATCTGTGTCATACAGGAGGTCAGACGAGATGATCACAATGGTCCCTTCTGCCCCAAGAATCTATACTTAGCTCGCTGGTTATTTACCTGATACTCACGGGCAAAACTTCATGACATTTAACATAGTTCTTCACATGTTAGATCTGTAAAGTTCAAGAACAGAAGGGATGTTCCAATCACCTCATCTGACCTCCTGAATCGCAGGGGCCAGAGAACCTCACCTCACCCAGGGATTCTACATTTCTAGGATTTCTGAATCAAGCCCATAGCTTATGCGAGCTATAGCAGACCTTTAAAAAAAAAAAAAAAAAAGGACAGAGAAAGTCTTGATTTAAAGAAGCTACCACGTCCCTAGGTCAATTGATGCAAGAGTTAATAACTAGAAGAGACTAGATGTGCTACTTCGTGAGGAGAAAACTGGTGCTCAGTTTATGGAAGTTCCCCTAAAGCCACATGCACAGAGAAGTACAGTGAAGTTCCACCCTCTAGCAAAATGCACTTGACTAGGCCACTGCATAACACACCAAAGGGCCATGCCGACTCATGTTCATCTTGCGTGTTTCGGTAGCTGAGCAGGAGGGATTTGTAAAGTTGCTTATACATCAAAACACAAACAGCTGGAAAGAAGGGGTGAAGCTGGGAGCAAGGTGCACAGGCAGGAACACAGCGGCAGAGGGAAGGGAGTCACAAAGGAGTGTTTCTGAAGGAACTGCATATCGGGGTACATCCCAGGGCAGAGGAGATGAAGGCGAGCAAACCAGTGGGGGAGGGGAAGGTGTCTAAACCAGGAAAGGAGGGACTTAAAGGCATGGAAGACCAATGAGGATTACCAGCACCTTCGGCTTTGGAGCGGCCCCAAGACAGCTCTGCCCATTAGCTAATCCCACAGGGAATAAGGAGACAGGGACATGTCCCTGCATTGAGACCCGGATGGGGAAAAGAGCTGTGGTCTGGGCATGACACCTCCAGCATCAGCGAGTGGCATGCCCACACGCTCACCCCTGCTGCAGGGCCACTGAGAACTGCTCCTGTTCACTGCAATTCTCAGGGGACATCAGATCCGCCAGGAGGCAGAGAACGGATTCCGTGGGAAGCCATTTCTAGTCTAAGTAGAAGCCCCCAGACGAAGTATTTTGATTTCTAATTACAAGAGAGCACCTATTACAAATAGCCTTAGGTGCCCCAACATCAACTACAATCTAGCCCACCATACAAAGAGCTGTTACCACTGGCTGCGGAGGCATTTCAACCCATTACAGATTTCTACGTTCTGAACCCCACAGTCCTACTGGGGAGCTCTTGCCACCAGACACAGCAACAAACATCTCAGCAAACCCAGAGACTGTACAGAAACGTTTACACACAAATCTCCCCAGTGCCAAGCCCACCTCCAGCCTAAGCTCTGCTCAATATTGGTAACCAGCCCCATAAAGATGCACAGTTATTCTAAAGACTCACACTAACAGTCCACTCAGATCAGGGTCCTATTAGTTTCAACCCAGGATATAGAAGGGTTTCACCCTCTCGGACAGAGCCAGCTAGGGGCAGGGACAGAGAAGTTCTACCAGGAGCAAACTTTGGAACAAGCTCTAGCAGAAAGGTTGCTGAGATTAACATTAAAGAATCCCCCTTATTCATCTTCTCTGAGGCCCCCCCCCAGCACCTACCTGATCTACTCACTCCAAGATGAGCATGTAACATTCACACTCCCCTCGCACAGGGGGCCACTCCCAGGGACACGCCCACTGGCACACACAATGTTCGCACTAATGGACTAGCCTTACTTCACCATGCGCTCTGCTCACAAGCCACATGGTGCACGGGGATCTGAAAGACAAGCCTTCCTGGCTTCCCCATAGCAGAGGCCAGGCAGGAATGGAACGCACCTGTATGGAGCTAAACACAGGGGTTCTTAAGGCTCTGGCTGACCTAGCTGGAAAGGACAACCGAGCTATTACTGGCAGTAAGTCTAACACGAGCAGGACTAACTCAAGAGCAAACTGAGCCAGGACAGATCTCAGGGAACACCCTACCCCCACCTCACCTTGCAGCCCTGCTGCATTACATGATCCATGGAAACAGTCCAAGAATGTATCCATCCAATGCTACCTTGAAAGCGTGAGGAGGATGTGTTTTGGCTGGCACCATCTAAATCAGATGCAGCCCAGTCTTTCAAAGAGTGCATCCTGCAACCAGAGCTCCAGACTGACAGAGCCACCAAATTCCAGCCTTGTGTTTCAGAACTGCAGCCCTTAACCTCACACACAAGGACCAAAACACTGCCAGACCTGTTTCCAAAACAAACCCCAGGCTCCACTCAGTGAGGGATTGAGGTGCTTTTAAGCACATAATTAAGACGGCTTCAGTATATCGCGAGCTGCCTAAGTACCACATTTTCATGTAAACACTTTTCGAAGAACCTGTATTTGCCTAAATTAAAAATAAGCACACTTGTTGCTTATGAGCTCTGTGGAGACTGCAGCCCAGCCAGGGTCTCCAGCACACTCTGTCATGGGTGTAACCAGATGACATTGGAACAGAAAAAAGGCTGCTCTGAGGGAGAGGCCTCCACCCTCACAGAGACACCTGTCTGGGGATCACTCTTTAAAGCAGGCATTAAAGAGACAGAGCCACAGGGCCCACACTGGAGTGTTACTGACGTATTATTAAAATGCTTCGGAGCTTGATTAGCTGAGCTTAGTATTTATCATCTTAGTATTTATGCCCTGAAACAGGGAGCTGCAGGCACTCGAAGAAATGGATTCAAAGGGTTTTGCCTGCTTTCATCTCCTCTTCCCTACATGCCTCGGCACCTTGGCTGGAGCTCTGCCCAGCAAAGGACAAATTTCTTCCAGCGACACCTTCTCCCCCCAAAAACCCCCTTGTGCAGGGTTATTCTATCTGCTCTGCTGCCAGTGAAAGAACCCCACTGTGCTGCATCAAGGGGAGACTGTCTAAACAACAGCCCATAGAGCCTGCCTGAAAAACCCCATGGGGCAGGGACTGTCTTCCTTTGCTTGATAGAGTACCAAGCCGTCAGCACCCTTATGACAGCAGGAACGAGGCCACAAACAGATAATCTTGCTAGACAATTCCCTTTAACACCCTATCACCACCCCTTTCCAAATGCCAGTTACTGGATGAAACCTTCTTTTAGTCTGATATTGGCCTAGAGAACTGGGGTCCTTAGGTCTATTCCCTACAGTCATTTCCTGAAGGCGGCAAGCAACAGACTTTTCCCCACTTAAAAAAAACAACAACCCTGCAAAGCTTTTTTATATATAAACAAGTCTCTGAAATGGAAAGATGCAATTAGGCATGGAAATAGTCCTCAATAAGCTGCCTTGCTATGGAGGAAATTGATTTATTTAACCATTTTATGTGCATTTGAAAACTGCAACCTGAGCATGTGCATTGGTAGTAAAGTGCCTATTATACTCTTCATTCCCCAGAATGGCTCTAAACCAGCTCAGAAAAATAGGCAAGGAAAACAAGGAATGGGGGGGGGAGAAGAAGAAGGACATTACGTGGTACTGTAGAAACAGTACGCAGGAACCCAACTGAGGACTGGATCGTCGTAACACCACGCGGGGACAGAGGTAAGGTAGAGTAGAGGTATTCAGCTTTTGCTCTGGTGGTGGTTCTTGGAGCCCCCACATGGGATCAGGCCCCCACTGTGCTAGGCCCTGCACACACACAGTAAGGAACAGTCCCTGCCCCGCAGACTACCATCTAAACAGGCAACACAGAGAGGGGAGGAAAAGCAGAAGCAGAGAGAGAACTGACTTGCCGAAGGTCAGGCAGCAGGTCAGTGGCAGGGCTGAAAATAGAACCAATCTCTCTAGGCTGAACGCTGAGTCGTGAAACATTAACACAGTATGCATCTTGTCATACCAAGCCAGGATAGCTTCCACCTTCCCAGCCCCATTCAGTCGCTGGGGTGGAGCCCTCTGATACAGCCCCGTATACTCCAGTAACATGTGAAGGACGTGTCCTAGGACTGTAGCCCAGACCTCTCAGTGTTCACTGCAGCAGATGGTTGAAAGCAAAACTCCGAGGACAGAAAGGAACATACTGCACAGCATGCAGCCAGCCACGCAGAAACAGCAGGCTAGCTCCTCACCTGTGCGTTTTAAAGAACCTTAGAGCCCAAAGTGAGCTTTGCTTGCTTCTGTTTAGCACTGGGGCCTTTCTTTGGCAAGAAGCCCTCTTCCTGCCCCTAAAACAAAGGATAAACACTCCCGTATCTCTCGCCAGCACTTTTACTCCCAAGTGCTTATGGGGCTGAGATTCTTCGCCATCCCCTAAGCACACGCAGCCGCGTCTGGAGTGGGAAAGCACCAACAACGGTAGTGCCAAGCAGCTGGAGGAACAGGAATTCTATTCTGCTCCCTAAACTCCCCCTGGGACGCTCTCAGAACAAGGGGAGGAGACAGCTTCTGTGAAATCGAACCACAGCCACGGGCTGGGTTCCCCTCTCACTCCCAGGAACAGCAGCTCCAGCACCCCAGCACCTCACGGAGGCATCAACTTCGTACAATGTAATGGAGCGTGCTACCAGGCATATTTTCAGCACTTCTTCCAGTAACAACTGGGTTTTCCTTGGTCTGAGTCTGCTTGGCCCAGGAGGTCCAGCAAGATGGCCACTCTAGCCAGCTGGTCTGCAGGTTGCTCCAACAATTTCTAAATCCTGATCCAGTCTCTTACCTTCTTCCCAATGAGCTTCTTCCGCAAGAACTCCCGAGCCTCAAACATGTATGGAATGTCATAGAGTGGGCGCAGCTTCCGGTTCTTGTCCTGCAACAAAGAGGAAAACCCAAATAAGCTTGGTAGCAGTGAAAAGTGAAGGTGCAGCCAACCAATCAGTGAACTGCACAGGAGGCCCTGAGCAGCAGAAGGGACCGCACCCAGACAGCAACATGGAAAACAGGGGAGAGGCTGTCCCCTTGGGCTCTCATGTATTTCATCCTTCAGGCTTCTCTGGATCATAAAGGCTTGACCTCACAATGAATTTGACCAGAATAGCTACTGAGCAAGCGCTATTCCAGAATAAGCTCCCCATGTGGACACGTGATTCTGGAATAAGTCACTTCATTCTGGAATAATTACTGCGCTTCCAAAGTGGAGTAATTATGGAATAAAGTGATGGCATTCCAGAGCAGAGTGTGTCTACACAGGGAGCTATTCTGGGCAATTTTATCATGTAGACAAGCCCCAAGAATAGATTTGAGGGATCAAAATTTACCCTCATCCTCTTCACCCCTCCAACCAGTATGGGACTGTCCCCAGCAGCACTTCTGCCAGTTTAGCTTTAAATTTTCTAGGCAACAGACACAAACCCCTCCACCCACCAAGAGATTGCTCCTCAGCCTGGCTTATCTTATCAGGAGGTTATTCTTGATATTCAGCCTCCATTTGCCTTTGCTCAGTTTTGTCCCATTCTGCCTAATTCGAGCCCCTCTCACCCTGGGGGCTCACCCCCGCAGATCACATGACTAGCCACCACACCCTTCGATGACTGGTTGGTAGCTGGTAGCTTCCTCATTAACAGATCTTCTCCTACAGAGACGGGACCCTCCCATTTCACACCCACAGGCTGAGGCAGCCTAGATGCAGTGCCCGTTGCTGGTCAACACTCCGAGACCCAGCAAGAGGCCCTTCTGTGTGGCGATGCACAGCGCAAGAGGCTGGAACGGGAATGAATGGTGATGCACCATGGCAGCATCTGAGGCACCCAGCCCACCAAAGCCCCATCAGTCCTGATCAACCCTGGCAGCTACCAGGGGTCACCCGTAGGCCTCCACCCACATCAGACTCGGATTCCAGCACTAGCAGCCACAGAGCAACTTGCCTTTTAGCGCAGCCGCTCGGCAGGTTCAACTGACTTCTCAGGAGAACTCAACAGAAGCTCAGTGATTAAAAGGGTGGGGGGCTGGGTTTTATTGCAGGAACCCATTGAATCGTACAAATTTTCACTCATTTGAAAGGCTGGAGCCCACTGCACCCCGGCTTTTCAGCCCAGCATGTCTCCGCTCCAGATTACACAGCACCCCGGGCATTTCCTACAGGAGGAGGGGAAGGAATCGGAAGGCTCTCATTACGAAGCCTTTGCACACAGCACCTTTGTTGGTTTCCTCCTCCCCACCAAAACACTAAAAAGGGCTCCTTAATTAAGATAACCTGGCAAGCTCAGTGCATGTGCTCTGCTCACACAGGGTCTGGTGGAAAAGTTGCTCGTTAGGCAAGCTCATTATCGGCGAGTGATTAATAGCACTCATGGGATGCGACACCAATGAAAAGGAATCGCAGGGCATTTCACTGCATACCAGTTACCGCTGTCTACCAGCTGCTTAAAGCATCTTATGGTGATAAGGACCCTTCAAAGAGCAAGAGGAAAAAAAAGTTTCCAGTAGAAATAGCTGCCATGCAGTCAGAGCGGGAGGGGCAGCCGGGAGCGTTAATAAGGGGAAAGCTAGAAATCTGAAGGCAAATACATTGGCGAGGCTAGTAAGCAGCGAATGGGAGGGAGGCACTATTAATGCCCCCTTGCAGCTGGACCTGGAGAAGTCCAGGGAGTGAATGACCGAGTACATGAACTTTCCTAAATCTTTGCTGTGAGAGCTACTCCCACAAGCTGAGACCCAGCAAACTCGTCTAAGCTCCCAGTGGGCAAAACCTCCACTGACAGAACCCCACCAACACTGAGTCATGGACAGGCCCAGAAGCGGGGGTCAGGGAGAGTGCACAGCCCTCAGTTCTAGAGGAGATCTCACTCCTAGACCCACAGCTTAAAGCCGGCTGGTGGGTACACTGGCATTGGAACTGGCGTCACCAGTCATCTTTTTACAGCCAGAAGGGACCATTATGATCATCTAGTCAGAGGAAGAGGGGTCCAGTCTCTGCTCCACCCCAGACTTCCTGGGACCCCTCAGGCAAGTCACAGTGTGCCCCGAGCCTGAGTGACCATGTGGAAAACGGGGTAAGCGTGGCCCTACCTCACAGGGGTATTGAGGGGATAAATGCAGTACAGAGTGTAAAGCGCTCAGATACGGCAGCGATGGGCCAGACAACCTGACAGGCCACTGAGACCACTGTCTGCCACGCTGACCACTACTGTCTCCTTGTACTCCTGTCTGTATCCATCCATTGCCTCATCTTAGGTGAACTGTAAGCTCTGTGGGGCAGCCCCTAGCAAAATGGGGTCCTGTCCATGACTGGGTCCTGAGGTGCTATGGTAATATAAATAAAAATAAAGCTTTCCTGATCTACCTAGCACAGGCTAAAGAATCACACCCAGGGATTCCTGCAGGAGGAAGGATTACAGGGGGCTCAAGACCAGAGCTGTGCATAGGAGGGCCCAATACTACCCACAAGCACCAGAATCACCTGGAAACATTAATGGATTTTGAACCAGAAGTTCTCAAACTGTGGGTCAGGACCCCATTTTAATGGGGTCATCAGGGCCAGCATTAGACCTGCTGGGACCCATGGCTGAAGCACAAGTTCCACCCCCACCCAGGGCGACGGGGCTCAGGCTACAGCCCTGTCTCCCCCCACCTGGGGCAATAGGGCTTGAGGCTCTTCTCCTCCCCTCTCCCCCCCATGCCATGTAGTAACTTTGTTGTCAGAGGGGGAGTTGCGGTGCAATTAAGTTTGAGAACCCCTGGGGTAAACCAACGCAGCTCCCTTTTACAGACATTATAGCTCCTTAGGTTCAGTCTGCTCAGGACTTGATCCCTGCTGCAGGCTTCCCCTTACACTCAGAACTGTGGCTAGTTTGCATCAGAAACTTGCTTAAGACAATGTAAACAAATGGGAGCGGTTTGGAGCCTGCCCACTGCTCCCAGCCCATGGCTTGGAGTTACAGCAAACCTCCAACTTGACGGAAAAGCCCTATTACGCCATCTATTTCATCCTAGAACATACAACTCAGACGCAGGCCTCTGACCTCCCTAAGACTGCAATCTACCGCGGATGCCAGCTCATTAACAAGGATTTTCTGTTGCAGCCCGAGGAATAGACATTAAACACCAGAGAATGTCTCACACAACAGAAGATGTAACCCCAGGAGCAAAATATTTAGGATCTGAGTCTCTCAACGGCTGGCTCAACAACTGCTTAGCACCTGCTGAGGAAGTCAAATGCATGGACAGAAACAGGCCAAAGTAGAGACAGAGGCAGAGGGTGAAACAAATGTCAAGGAAATGAAGAGTTATTTGGTCGATCCAGTCGTGCACACAGCTCACTTGTAAAAGTGTGCAATCACCCCGCTCCTCCCATTGCTGTTATCTGCCACCCACACTTGTGTCTCTGGGTTCCAGCCCCCAGCGTTCCACTCACGGCAGGTAAGGCAGCACCAAGGCTCTGGGATTCATGGAGGGGTATTGCTCCCTACAACAATGATAACAGGGGCTACAGAAGTGAGTTTAATACAAACTATCTAGGAACATAGGGCAGAGACAAGGTGGTCACCTGTAACCAATACAGGCTGGGAACTGTCTCTAGCAGCTGGAGCAGGCAACTAGGAATCAGAGCTCTTGGATTTTATTCCTGACTCCACCACAGCGTTGGACCAGTCACTTCCCACACCGGTTCCCCAGAGCCCAAATCGGTTTCCCTTAAGGTCTCAGTACAACAATTACCCGCTCCCCTAGGCCCTCTTTGGTGAAGGGTGGGAGGGAAGGAGGATGAGTGGATGGCATGGTGTAGGTAGAGCCTCAGTTTCTTGTGAGGTGGGGGGGACCATTAGGGGGAATCTAAAAGGGTTTCAGTCTGTGAGCATTGGCCCAGTTTGCCTTCATGTGGTTTTATTGCTACAGACTATATGCAGGTCCAGGCCATAGGACGGGCACATTGCAGCAAGTCTAACCAGAGTGCTGCATTGCCGGACTAACCCATCTCTCTGCACTCTGGCGTCCAACAGGCCCTGCTGGGCTGCAGCGTGGGGGTGTCCGCATTTAGGCCTCAAGCTGCAGGGTCCAAGTAGGAGCGCCAATGTGGGACACGCATCTCCGGGTCCTCACCTGGGCCAATGCTCAGAGCAGCAGCAAACTGGCAGAACATCAGTCACACCAGCCCTCAGCTGGGGCGGGAGGACTGGGGGAGGAAAGGGCATCCCAAAATTAAAGAAGTCTTATGTGATTCCAGCCACCAGAAGCAGCCTGGTAACGGGGTAACTCCAGAAAGAGTCCACTCCCTCTTGATCAGCTGTGGTTTACCAACCCTAATTCTGAGCACAAGACTGGTGCAAACTGCAGGCATCCTCGCTCTGCACATGGCTGCTGCCCCAGGACCCTCTGCTCTTCTGGGCAATGCTCCCACCCTCTGCCCAAATATGCCAGCACCGAGGGGCGGGTGCTGCTGGGGGGGGTGGGGGGGACACTAGCTGAGGGAGAGACGTTCATGCCAACGCACATCAAGCTCAAGTACTTTTTGTTTATGAAGCTACTTGCAGAGGCAGACCGGGACTTTATTTTACATGAAAGTCTTACAGTAAAAGCCACACTGATGTTTACAAATAGGGACATTTCATAACTCCCAGCAACCCAGGACTGTGATCTACTGTGACCCAGATTCAACTGTTCTATTGTTCTTCCCCTGAAGTACAAGCTCCTATGTGAGAAGACTCTCACTTCACTCATCCTGCCAGGACAGGTCTGTTTAGGTGGACTGGCGCCCGCATGCCCCTGGAACCCAAGTTACTCCCTGCCTGCCCCCTCTGCTGGGGAAGCAAGCTGCTGCTCCTTACCCATGCCTCCCAATGTCACCAGCTCTGAGCGAATACAAGCTGCAGCCTT